CCAGAAATCCATGGTATAATCAATATTGTTTTCCCACATCGTAATTCAAAGGCATCCATCCTTTTTTATCTCTCCTGAGTTTTTGCCCATCTTTTGCAGGCATACGAGGCAATTGGCACCACGGAGGTTTGGGTCAGACTCGTCCAATCCCTCAAGGTGGCACATTCTTCTTCGTAGAGCCCAGCTTCTAGGAAGTTTTGGAACTTACAGTTTGTTTTCATTAAATCAGCGGTTCTCAACCTGTGGGTTGCAATCCCTTTGGAGATAGAACGACCCTTTCACAGGGGTCTCCTGATTCATAACAGCAGCAAAATTCCAGTTATGAAGTAGCAAGGAAAATAATTTTATGGTTTGGGGGTCACCACAACATGAGGAACTGTATGAAAGGGTTCCGGCATTAGGAAGGTTGAGGATCACTGATTTAACTTCATTAGGTGGGTAGATATATAGATAGATATTCGACAGATATATAAATATCAGTATTATATATGTACATAAATACATAGTTATTTAGTGTATGTCTATGTAGGCACCTGTACATTGCTCTTGTTGGAGGCTGCTTTTGAATGGTGGATCATGCAGGAGATGGTGCAGAGTCAGGTGGATTCAAGGTCAGCAGGACCTAGTGGGCACTGATACCTCCTGGTTCAGCAGGTCCCATAGGCCCCTGGTCCTGGCTCTGGCGTTGGATGCAGAATCCAAGCAGGTAGGTGAAGGGGAGCAAGACAATGCTCAGTCCTCGGTTTCTCTCATAAAAAGGCCATCCCCCGAAGGCATCACCAGGCTCTGATCTGTTTGGGAGGTTGGCCTGCATCCCCATGTGTCTGATGGCACTGCGCTCGCAAACGGGATCCTCAGCTGTGTGGTAAAGCAATCAAACACACGTATTCTATGGATGTGATTCTGAAAGCAATTTACATCGAGATGAATCCTTTTGGAAAATTTTGCCGAATAAAATCATCTTCAGTGCCCTTCTGAACCAAGGATAGAAAAAAGCATACACCATTGGATTAAAAGTAGAGTTCAAGTAGCCAAACCAAATCAAAGCTTCATTCAATGTCTGTGGGATCGTGTAGTCCAAGAAAGGATCTGCCACCGTGCAGACAAAGAAAGGGCACCAGCATATCAGGAACACCCCCATCACAATCCCTAAGGTCTTGGCTGCTTTCTGTTCTTTGCTTTGTGACACTCCGTGGTTCTCCTCCAACCGGATTTGAAGCTTCAGTTTTGCATCATTGATTGACCTAGCCTGTCCTCTAGCTATGAAATATATTCTGTAATAGATCGACAGCATGATGGATCCAGGTATGTAGAAAGATGTCATGAAGGCCAGTACCCCGGAGGTTTTGCTGAAGAAGACAGAGCAGCCTCCTACGCAGTGAATGTGCTGGTAATAGATCTCTTCAGCTCCTTTGATGTTTAGCTCCAGGAAGATCATTCCAAAAGCAAAAATAGCAGGGACACCCCAGCTGATGAAGATCATCACAAAAACAACCAAGATACTGATCCTGGCTTTGTATCTCAATGGGTCGCACACAGCACAGTAGCGATCGATGGAAATGAAGGACAAGTGGAAAATGGATGCTGAGCTCAGCATAATATCAGTGCTTGTGTGGATTTTACAGAAGACTTCGCCAAAGTACCAGCAGTGCTCCACCGATCTCACCATACTGTAAGGCATGACCAGGCAGCCCAGCAGAAAGTCCACTGTGGCCATGGAATGAATGAGCCAATTCGTTGGAGTATGAAGCTGCTTGAAGTGTGATATAGAAACAATAACGATCAGATTGCCCACCAGTGTGGTCAGAATTACCAGCACCATTAAACTGTACAGGGTAGCACGGATATCTTTTGACCAGTTGCTTTTTACACAGGAAACATTAACTACATCATAGCAAAAGGGCATCGTTTCTGAAGGACATCCACCAATTTACTTTTCCCTTTGTGTCTCAAGGACTCTTTTTCAAACTGTGGCCGAAATCAGATCAGGGTTCCTTCTCCTCCATCTGCATGTACTTTTCCGGGAAATCTGGGAGCGGGGAGAGAAAAAGGAAAGAATCGGTTATTTTCTTCCTCTCACTTTGAACACATTTTACCCACTACATCTTGACTAAGAATAAATCCTTTTGGTAAGACCTTTATTTCCAAGTTCAGTTCAAGTTCAGCTCAACAAATCTTTGGTGAGCATCTCCTTGGTTAAGATACTGTGGTTGCAAAGAAGAATTATTAGTTTTAATTATATGAAATTGTCATTTGTGTAGGCTAGCTAAAGTCAAATAAAAATCATCTCATACACATTAACCTACAGAAACATTCTTTCCTCATACGACGTCACACTCTAGTGCAGAGGTTTATGTTCTTTAAAACAAAACAAACTCATTTCCAGGAAGCCGGTTCCAACACACAGAGACACAGAGGACAGGGTCGAACTACTCAATGTGAGTTTCGGACACTTAACAACTCTTAATTCGAGTAGGAAGTCCCGTCTTGGTGGCATCGTGGTTACACAGTGGGCTGCTAATCGCAAAGTCGGCAGGTCGAAACCAGCAGCCCCTGAGCCGGGGAAAGGTGAGGCTTTCTACTCGCGTCCGGAGTTGCAGTCTTGGAGACGCTCAGGGGTAGTCTCTCCTCCCCTCTACGTCACCGTGAGTCCGATTTGACTCGATGGCAGTGAGTTGAGTTCGCCCATGCAATGGCTGGTGTTTCAAACTGCCGACTTTGTAGCTGGCAGTCCCACAGGGAACTGCTATGCCAGCAGGGCTAGAAAGTTTCATATAAAATTTTAGTTTGGAAAGTAGGACAGGGTTGTTGCTGGTGTTCTCGTTAGGAGCCATCGAGTTGGCTCCAGTTCAGAGCCACCCTGTGCACCACGGAACGAAACGTGGCCTGGCGTGTAAATATGCTCACTGGTGCCCACTCTTCCATTTTATTATATTTAGGATGTTTTATTTGATAACTTGTAATAATGAGCAGAAACTTACACACCTTTGAGTTTGCATATGCTGTTCTTGAGCACTGTGGAGTCGGTTCCTGTTCATAGTACACAAAACACTGTCTAGTCCTGAGCCATAGTTATTTTTTTTAACATTTTATTTGGAATTTATATATCAGCACAAGTCCTTGGGGGGGGGTATATGTTTCTCTAGCCTTATTTTATGAAAGGTGCTGAACTTAGTTCATAAAGTCATTAATGTTGGAATATGACCTGAGATCACAATTACAAGTGGGTTTTTTCCCCCTTCCATTTCAGAAAGAACTAACTAAAGAAAAAAATATTTTAAAGAATATGAACCTTTGGAATTTCATGTGGGAGCTCATGATCTCCCATTCATGGAAGTATGGTACTGTGGTCCAATGTCGTAAGGAGTTTATATACACAATGAAGCAATGGTAAGAATTGAGGCAGTCTAGAGAGAAGAATACTGAGCTGAGAACCTTTTGAACCTTAGCTTTGATGCTGACTATGAGCAGGGCCTCCAGATGCCTCTCTCTCTGTCTGGCAAACTTTATTACCATTTAACCTTTGTTTGTTTCCATGCAATTCCAATTTGTAACACAGATAAAACTTATTTAACAAGGTGACCTTCTCATATGCCAATAAAGAATCCTAAGGCTCCTGTTTGAAATGTCCCATGTATTTCTATATATTTGGATGATTCTAAATACAATCCTGGAATTTTCATGTCACAGAGAAATATAAATAACAGCTTAGGGGAAGAATGGAAATTTCTGACAGGCAAAGAAGTTGTACAACTTGACACTGTGCTATAAGAACGCTTCGACACAGAACAACACATCCAAGTATTCCAGGGATCTACAGTCCCTTCACTCTTTCCCTTTACCACTGGCCACAGTTTAAATCAAGGCCACACAAAATCCAACTGTACCTGAATTAAAACTGGATTCATAAGATATTTAGGTATTAAAATCCATATTTTAATACACGTGAAAAAAAATCTTTCTCCACAATCCCCTTGTGCTTTCTATTCCCAGGAGAAAACATTTGTCAAGTGAATTAGTCAAATTTATTACTGATTTTAGGCTACTTCCATGGCAAAACAAACAACAAATAAAACTATTAAAGTTTTTTATTATAATTAAAATTTCAATGAAGACATTGCGTCTTTTTTCCTATGAAATTTATAAGCATGCATTGAACTCTCTATTAGTTGTTATGTCTTTTACTTTGACCTTTTTGATCACATTTTTCATTCTCTCTTTTAATTATGCTGTTTAGAAGTTTGTTAATTACTGAAGGCAAAAAACATTCCTATGACATTATATTGAGCAGAAACCATACAGCAAAACAAGCAAACAAAAGAGTAAGATGGGAAACAAACAAAATGCCCAACTTGCTATTTAGTCTGACGACTAGTTTTCATAGATGACAGTGCTGTCTGAGAATAGTGTATGCTTGTTTTCTGTGGATCTAAAATACCTGGTTTTCAAACAAAAATCAGAAAGACTGAGTCCTTAAATGTCTATTTGTACATCCTGATTTCAGAAAAAAATAGAGAATTAAGCATTTTTATCAGTTTAGATACTGTTTATTTATTTCCCTTTATTGCCTTATTTTTTAAAAATCATTTTATTGGGGGCTCGTCCAACAGTTATCACAATCCATCCATCCATCCATTGTGTCAAGCACATTTGTACATATGTTGCCATCATCATTTTCAAAGCATTTCTTTCTACTTGAGCCCTTGGTGTCAGCTCCTCATTTCTCCCCCTCCTTCTCCTATGAACTCTTGATAATTTCCAAATTATTATTATTTTTTCATGTCTTGAACTGTCTGATGTCTCCCTTTACCCATTTGTCTGTTGTCCATTCCCCTGGAAGGGGTTAGAGATAGGTCATTGTGATCGGTTCCCGCTTTCTCCCCCTACCTTCCCCTTCCCTTCCTGGTGTGGCTACTCTCAATTTTGGTCCTGAGGAGTTTATCTGTCCTATATGCCCTGTGTTTCCAGCTGGTATCTGTACCCTCTGGTCTAGCCAGATTTTTAAAGTAGAATTAGGTCATGATAGTGGGGGGAGGAAGCATTAAAGAACCAGAAGAATGCTGTATATTTCATTGGTGCTATACTGCACTGGCCTGTCTTCTCCCCACGACCCTTCTGTAAGGGGATGTCCAATTGCTTGCAGATTGGCTTTGGGCCTCTATTCCACACTCCCCACACCATTCATGTTATGATTTTTGCTCTGGGTTTTTGATGCCTGATACCTGATCCCATCGACACATGATCACACAGGCTGGTGTGCTTCTTCCATGTGGGCTTAGTTGTTGCTCAGCTAGATGGCTGCTTGTTTATCGTCACGCCTTTAAGACGATTTTATCTTGAAAATTTTTATATCATTTTAATAAAATAATTTGTCTTCCCAACATAAGAATATTGCACATAATTATTTTATGAGTAGTTTTGAAAAGTATCATGATTTGCTTTTAAATAAATTTTCTTATTTCAACAAATGCCCTATGGTGACATTATGAGTCAAATGTTTATCAGAGAACATGGGAAATGGTGTTCTGTTTCTTTTCTCCTGGCTTTAAAAATTCAGTGAAAAATAATGATCATTTATATACACAAGTTATTGAGTGAATAGATGATAGTAATAGAGAATGTTAATCTCCCTTTGATTGCTTAGGAAACAGTTCTAAGCAAATGAGATAATAAGCTGATGTTTGAAAATGTTTACATATATGTTGAATATATATCTGTCTGGCAGGACAAAAATTTACTACCTTGAAGTAGGTTGACCGTCATGTTGAACTCATTGCCTTTCCAGGTCATTGACCCTCCTTATTTCCTTCTTTGCATGCTTTGAACGGAGTTTCTGATTGGTCTATTCTTGTTTGATTTCCTCCTGAGTATTTGTCGTTTCATCCCAGATATACTAAATCAGAATCCACAGTTTAATAAGATCTCCAGGTAATGCTAAGATATCTCCAGGAGATTCATATGCTTAACATTCACCTGAAGATCTTGTTAAAATATAGGCTTTGATTCCGTATTTTTGGGATGAAAATACACATTCTCATGTTTTGAGAATGATGAGGGCAATGAATGTACAAATGTGCTTTACTCAATTGATGTATGTATGGATTGTGGTAAGAGTTGTATGAGCCCCTAATAAAACAAAAAAAAAAAAGAAAGTACACATTCTCAAGAGTAGGTAGAATGGGATGAACTGGTTCAAAACATCTGGCTTTGCAGTTAATATCTTCAATTCATAGCCCTTTGATTATTTAAACATATTGCTTTTTCTGGTTAAAGTCATCTATAGATGACTAGGTTATTCTTTGATTTTTGAAGTTAGCTGCTGGTTTACTGTCACTCTTTCCAATGCTGCTCAATCCAAAATTCTTGATACGTTTATTGTCTATGTAAATGTTCTGCTTGATAATAAACTTTCAGTTCCTTAATCCTCTGTCTTCCAAAAAGCATGTCTTACACTTCATCTCATCACACTCTGTCAGAATCATACCCCAGGGCCTATCATTGTCAGCAATGGAGCCCATCCGATTGTTGGTTTCCAGTTCCACAACTTCTCAACCACTGCCACGTGTGAACTTCTAATGATTGTTCAACCACTATGAAGGCCTCCATTAATGTATTTACTAACTTTTTACTGTTCTTCATTTACTAATACCCACATCTTATTCTATTTAAATTTCAATATTGTCTAACATATTCTCTCCTTTCAACATACTTCCCTAGCTAAACTAGAATTTCAGTCAAATACAGTTTTTACTCCACTCCACATTGAATATACTCCATTCATTATGAAGAACACTTAAGCAGCCTCATGTCCATCTCACAACATGTATAGATCATTAATAATTAATCAACACCATACTTTATTTATCTATTAATTTCATCCTCCCATTTTCTGAGGTGACTGTTTCACACTAACAGCTTCTTTCAACCTTAAAAGTCTCCTCTCAGCTTCACTCTTAGCTATTGGTCTGGCATCCTACTTCCCTGAGAAATAAATGCAACTGGAAGAGAATGCCCCCACACCCATGTTCCCATCTACCCATAAGCCTACATCTTGTCACATACTCAGGCTGTCTTCCAATATAACATGTAGATAAATTAACAGTCTCCCATCACTGGCTGTTCTTTCTCACTTGCACCATACCCATCTCTTCATGCTGCAAGGGGAAAAAAAAGATGTTGCTATCTTATTCAGAATCATAGTAACCCTATGTGTAACCAAATAGAACCGCATCCCATAGGGTTTTCTTTTGTTTTTGTTTTAAACTAGCCCGCGTGCTACAGAAACATTGAAGACAGTTTCAATTTCACTTTACCTTCTTTTCTAACCATTCAGACCAGTGTTTAGATCTAATAGGAAGGGAAACTGGAGGGTTTCATAGGGTTGTGAAGGCTTCGACGCTTCTTCTTCTTCTTCACTTTTATTTGTGGAGTATAACACACACAGGGAAAAAACATAGTTGCACAATGTAGCTCATCAGACCAATGACAGCATCCCAGCAAGCCCCCTATGTATTTGATTATATCTTCTCCTTTGTTGTTGAAAGATCATTTTTTTGGAAGTAGGTCAACATCTTTTCTTTCTGAGGTTCCTCAGCTCTCCAACCTTTCAATTGTTTGTACCACCCAGAAACTTCTTTCAAAACCAAACCCAAACCCACTATCATCGATTTTATTCCAACTCATAGCGAAACTATAGACTAGAGTTGAACTGTTCCATAGGATTTCCAAGGACGTAAATCATCAGGGAAGCAGACTGCTTCATCTTTCTCCCATGGAGAGGCTGAGAGTTCAAACTGCTTAACTTTTGGTCAGCATTCCAGCATTTAACTCATTGTATTATGAGGGTTACAATTTAGGAACACACATATGGAAGGAAATTTTATATATATATATGAACTTTGGTGGATGTCCATATAGAAAGAATGGAGGAGAACAAACAAATAAAGGAATTGTGTTGTGTGCATGGCGTGTTTCATTAACTACTCTAGCCCCAGGGTCTGGATAATGTTTAGAACATATGAAAAACTGAAGAATGGATTAGTCATTGAATAAATGAACAGTGAACAGAGAAAGGGCCAATAAAACTTAAATTGCATACGGTGAATGCCAGAGATAAAGTAGGGAATCTTACAGGCACCAAAATAAAAACAATTGGTTACAATGAAAGAAACAAGGATTTGGCTATTTTCTCACTTGTAATTATGGAAGCCAGAAGATAGTGAAGAGACCTTAGATATGATTAGGATGACAATTCAAGAATCTTGTGTTCAACCAAATGTGCAATGCAACAGTTTGTTTAACAGCAACAAGAATAAAAAGTAAAATGAGAATCACTAAGAAGTTGAATAAGCTGCATCTTTTTATATAGAGACATAGAAAGACAGCAATTGTGTCATTCCAAGCTAAAAACAATCTGTAAAGAAGAACCTTAAAATTTCACATATATACCCAAAAGCTCCACAACAGAAGTACTAACAGCACTAGAGGAATATGGAAGGATTCAAGTTCAACAAACAGAAGTCTATGGGTTTGCTATGTACATTGGACAAGACCGTGGAAGAGGAGGTCAAGAAGGCAGTACCTTTCACAATAGCCAAAAACAAATTGAAATATATAGGCATATATTTAACCAAAAAACCAACTACAGAATCCTAAAACAGGAAACCAAAAGTGACCTCTTCTAATGGAAGAATATCCCATGCTTATGGATTGGAAGAGTCAATATAGTAAAGATGTCAATCTTACCCAAGGCACTATGTAAGTTTAATACTATCCTGATTCAAATGTCAACAACCTTCTTTAAAGAATTGGAAAGACTGACCACCAATTTCATATGGAGAGGGAAGAAGCCCAGAATTAGCAGAGAATGCCTCAAGAAGAAGGACAAAGTTGGAAGGCTTGTTTTACCTGACTTTAACATCAACTACACAGCCACAGTGGTCAAAACAGCATGGCACTGGTGTAATGACAGATACACAACAAAGAAAAGAAAACCCAAAAATAAAACCAGCAACATATAGGCAACTGATCTTTGACAAAGGCCCAAAACGCATCAAGTGGGAGGCAGATGCCCTCTTTAACATGTGGTGCTGGAAGCAATGGATATCCTCCTGTAGAAAAATGAAACAAGATGTGTACCTCACCCTATGCACAAGAACAAACTCAAGGTGGATCACCGACCTAGAAATAAAACCCCAAACTATCAGGACCATCAACAAAGGAATTGGGGCAAACTAAGAACCTTGGTTCAGGGAATACATAGGCTAACTGCAATAGGGAAGGGTACACAACAGGTGAATCTGAAATCTACAAGTGGGATATACTGAGGATAAAACACCAATGGGCATCGGAAGACTTCACTAAGAGGGTAGCAAGAGAACACACGACTGGGAGAGGATTTTTAGCAATGACATAACAGACAAAGGGCTTATTACTAAAAATCTGCAATATTCTCCTAGCTTGCAAAAAGAGGAAAACAGTTAACCTCCTGAGGAAGCAGGCACAATACTTGAACAGAAGTTTCACTAGGGAGGAGACCTGAATGGCCAATAAACATATGAGAAAATGTTCCCCAAACAACCATGAGATACCATCTAACACCCTTGAAGATAGTCCAAGTCAGAAAATCAGAGAACAACAAATGTTGGAGGGGATGTGATGAGATGGGAGCTCTCCTCCACTGCTGGTAGATAAGTACAGCCTCTGTGGAAAGTGATCTGGTAATATTTAAAGCAAATGGAAATTGAGTTACCTTAAGACGCAGCTATTCCTCAACTGGGCATAAACCCAGAAGAGGTAAGAAATAGACCGTGACCAGTCATCTGCATTCCAATGTTTATTATGACGCAATTTACAATTGCAAAGACTTGGAAACAACCTAAATTTCCATCCATCGTGGACTAGTAAACTCTGGCACATATGCACAATGGCGTCCTATGAATCACTAAAAAGCACTGATGATCACATGAAGCATGCCATTTCATAGGAAGAGTTGGAAGAAATTATGTGAAGCAAAGTTAGCCAATCATGAAAGGACAAGTACAACATGAGTTGTACTTAGCTGAGATAAGTAAAATCAGCATAGAAGGTACAGAAGAAAAACCACTTTTCTCACACTATATTAGTTGACGTACAGGCAGTCAGGAGGAGATTGGGCCAAACCCAAGGAGGTACATGTTATTCCAACACAAAGACGTGGAAAGGGGGGAAGAGAGAGGGAGAAAAGGTGGGGGGTGAAGGGGTGATGGCACATGGGAGCATGGCACTAACCCACCCAGGGTTTATGTCTCCACAGAATTGGGAGTGCGCATGCAGACGCCACCACAGTGCACCAAATCTTGAGGGCAATGTAACCACATGAAGAAATGCATGAAAAGATTGGGCTACAGGGCCTGCCCCAATCAGAGCCAAACTGACCGCCCCTCCCTAGAAGCATGCGCTACAGAGAACAACACTAAATCTATAGGTTGGGAAGGGGGCCGTCCTGCCATGCCCACATGGAAAAAACCAAGAAGGAAAAAGAGAGCGGGAGAGTCTGGACCCCATATCGGCACACCAAGCCCAGAGGATGACTTCCCTGCATGGAGCTTCTAAGGCACAGAGAGGACTGTAGGGCAAACAACAGACTTGATGTCCCCTCACTGGATCATAATGCGACAGAAGACAATACTGGGGACACAAGGCAGATCAGCAACAGAAGCAAAGAAAAGCCAAAAATCCCCTGAAGAGTCCCCAAAATAGTCTTCAGGCTAGGAAGGGCAGCCCCTGGAATTTCCCGCAGGACCAGGGGCAGACTGCCATAAAGGTCATCGGACAGACCTGGAATTATGAATGGAGGGGGTTTCTTTCTGTGTCTTTTTGGTCCCCCCCTCCAATCTTTTGTTTATGTTTTGTTCAGTCTCTGTTAATGCTGGGTTGCCTACTTATATAAGCTAGGCATGGGAAACAAGCTTGAGGAGAAAGCAATGGGACCGATGGTCCCAGAAGGACTGAGGGGAGAAGGAGGTGGGGGAAGGGTGTGGTGAGCAAACAACGCCATAGACTACTAGGGAATTAAAATCAACAACGAGAAGGAAGTAGAGATCCTGGAGGGTGTTGGAGCAACAACAATCTAGCTGAGAGGAAATAGGGCGAGCATGATGGTGGGGGAAAGGGAAACAGAGGAACTATCTAGGAAGCAAAGCTATGGATAGAGGCATAAGCATAGGTGTGCACATAAGTACATTAGTTCATAAAATAGAGATATTGGCCTATGTACATATATTTATACGGCCATACACTGAGGTAGTAGACAGATTTTGGGCCTCTGCTCATGCCCTTCCTCAATGCAAAAACACTTTTCTCCAATAACCTGGACTACTGGGTTGCTCACCCTCCTGGCACAATCACTGAAGACAAAAATGTGTGCACAAGCAAGCGTGGTGAAGAAAGCAGATGGTGCCTGGCTGTCAAAATATATAGCATCTGGGGTCTTAAATGCTTGAAGGTAAACAAGCAGCCATCAAGCAGAGAAACAACGAGCCCACATGGAAGAAGCACACCAGCCTGTGCGAGTATGAGGTGTTACCAGAACAGGGTAACAGGCATCAGAAAACCACAAACAAACAAACAAACAAACAAAAACATACTGTTGAAAAAGAGGTGGGGGTCAGGACAGAGACACAACGCCCATCTATCAACAATGGGACATCCTCTCATAGAGGGGTCACACGGAAGGGATGAGTCAATCCAGGTGCAAGAAAGCATCAATGAAACACACATATTGCTCTGGTTCCTTGAGGCTTCCTCACACCTCACTATCATGACACCAGTATGGCCTTTAACTACAGGCTAGACCAGAGCATGTGCACAGGTACAGCTAAGAGATAAGAGCCATGACACACGGAATACAGGAGCAGGAATTGGAGTAGCAATATCAGAAAGGTAGGGGGAAGGTGAGGAGAGAAAGGGAGGAAGGAGGAATGTATTGTGATGATAGTCACATAACCACACACACCCCCTCCAGGGGGATGAACAACAGAAACCAAGGATGAAGGGAGACAGCAGTTGGTGTAAGACATGAAAATAATAATATTTATAATATTTCAAGGGGTCATGAGTGTGGGGTGGGGGAGGGAGAGAAAAGAGAGGAACGGATAGCAAGGGCTCAATAGAAAGTAAATGTTTAGAAAATAATGATGGCAACATATGTACATATATGCTTAATACAATTGATGTATGGATTGTTATCAGAGCTGCAAGAGCCCCCAATAAAATGATGTTTAACTTTTTTTAAAATTCACATATATGGACACATTTGTATAAGCATAGAAAATCAATATGGAATGAAATACTCAAGTTGGTATTGCTGCTTACAGATTTGTAACACTGTGG